CCTTGCATTATGCTCGATCGATTAACATACATAAAATAAAATTAAAGATTGAGCCTGGTTATTGTATGATGTGAGTGACTGCTGTATTTCTACTTTAGGACATCTTATCCTGGACGAAGACCTTGAGAGAACCACCTTCATCGTGGGCACAGGCCTCATTGGCCCCATGGATATAGTGTCTGTTATCATAAGCACCACACTTGAACTCCCCACGTTAGAAAATGGAGCAATCCGCATCATTTACCCCACATTGCTGACTCCGATCGTCACTGGCCAGATGACTACAAGCAAGAGTGAAAGTGGAGGGAAATCTGAAGAAACGGGGTATTTATGTAGCAAGCAACTTTGGCAGTTTCATTTAAAGCGGTGTAATTCAATGAACTAGCTTACTGCTATATTTGTGTTTTACCAGAAACTCCACATTTCTCTCCTCTTTAGACCAACCAGTTGTTTCAGTGCCAACTCAGGAAAACAGGACCGGGCCCTAGACTCTGAGCAGCAGTGTGCCCACGCCATCTTCACCAGTCCTGCTGCCAACCTGGCCCCTTATGAACTCAACTTCCAGCTGCTGGTCAGAGGGGCCTGTCTACTAGCTGGTACTGCACACTTATATCAAAAAACATACTTATTAAAAAAAAAAACACATCAACATCTATGATTTCCTCATTTGTATATCTTCCTAAACTGATTTGTAGGACTGGAGAGCCCCACTCACGCTCTGAGGGCAGATGCAGACCCCAGTGCCAAAAGTGCCTCTGCGACCTACATCACCTTGGCCCAGGAGCATCCATATGACAGACACATAGAGATCATTCTGCACCTCAGTGGTGAGTTAGCACTTACCAGATTGGGTTTCCTTTCTAGTTCTGTACTTTTTGCCCAATATTTGAATGTTACCTGAAATGACAAACCTCTTCCACAGAACCTCACAGCCCATTGGTCATACTGGAGAGAGGCTCTCGTTCAGCCAGTACGAGCAGCAGATCTGCGCCCGCCGTGATTTCATTCGTTGCATTCGCAAAGATTCAGAACCTGAGAGGAAGGTTAGTACTTACTCATGCTGCTTTGAGCTCTCCATTTACCTTTGGTATCTCACACGTGTCCCAATGCTGGCCAAAAACTGCTTGAAAAAGCGTGCTGATGTTTCTCTTGGCCTGCAGCTGGAGTTTATGAGGAAGCGATACCACAAGGACATTCTGTGCAGCCCCGTCCTGATGCTCAACTTCTGTCCCGACTTGCTGCATGAGCCTCTGGAGCTGCACAAAGCCACCAGAGAGCTGCTGTTCCTTGTTGACCGCAGTGGCAGCATGAGTGGCACCAACATCCACCGAGTAAAGGTGAGTGGCAGGCAGGATAAAAACATATCAAGGAACCAGTTTAGTCATTAGATTGTTGCACATACATTGATCTGGCCCTGTCCCTGCTTGTTTCTGCGCAGGATGCCATGGTGGTGGCATTGAAGAGTCTCCCCTCTGGCACCATGCTCAACATCGTGGGCTTCGGCACCACCATCAAGCCTCTGTTCACCTCCAGCAAGCCCTGCAATGATGTAAGTCACTTAGTTGCTTTAATTATCTGAATCTGTCTTGTTTATTGATTTTCAGTAACCCAGGAATTATTTTCAGTGAAAGAATACAAATGGAGGACTTGGACCATCTTTCCTGAAAGCAGATGTTTTTGCCCACGTAGGCCTATCTGTTCTATTTTCTCTACTCTCTAATCAGGCAATAGGTCAGCTTCTTAGGTTGCCTTAGTAGCAGAGTATCGGGTTTCGTCCAGACCAGGGGCTGCGAGGACAAACAGTCTTTGCACGGACTACCGACCATATGGTGACCTTTCATGCATTTTCACTAATGCACGAGATGTCCTTCCATCTCCTGTCCTGTCAGGCATGTTTGTCCACAGTGTGATTTGAAGTGGTTTCAAGCCAGGTGCTAATGTGTGTAATGTTTGCTCTCTCTTAATTAGAGATGTGCTGATTTAATTATTTGCCAGCCTCACGGGGTAATAAGGAAATCTGATATCAAACAATAAATTGAACTTGACAGCTGTTTGCACACGCTACATTGTGTGTGCAGGTTTTTCCCTCACCTCTACTGTAGAATGATGGCATATATCCTTTTCTTTTTCTCTGCATCAGGTCACTTTGATGCAGGCATACGAGTACGTCCAGAGGATGAGAGCCGACATGCGAGGCACCAACCTGCTGGGGGCGCTGTCCTGGGTGTACCAGCAGCCTTTGCAGCGCTCACACCCTCGCCAGGTTTTCATCATCACAGATGGATCCATCAGCAATGTGGCTAAGGTGCTGGAGCTGGTCCGCAGAAACACATGCGCCTGCAGGTATTACATTAAAATAACTGCCAATTAGACATTTAATCCATTTAAATCATGTGTGAAGAACGGTACAGAAAGGTGTCCGGTTGATATCCAATATGAGGGAAACGCACACACCAAATGGACGTCAATTGAAGCGACTAGTTAACAAAGATTTTTCTATGGTTGGAATTGTATAGGACATTAAATCACAGTGGGTGACAAGGAGGTAGAGAGCAATGGAGTTCAGTGAGTGCAGGCAGAATGAGGTGATAAAGGAAAGAGACACCATGTGGGGGAGAAAGGAGAGGAGGGGAGAAACAGAGGAGACACAAGCAAACAGCGGTCTTAAGGAACTGAGACCAGAGCACTGTGAAAGAGAGACAGAGGTATTTATCTGCCCCGCCCAGTAATCCCGTTAAGTGCTCTCCTCCGCAGTAAGAGTCACGCCCCTCTGGTTTCACGAGGCCCTTCAGCCATGCACAATAACTCCATTTATCTCTCATTAGTATTCCCCTGCTTGACTGACTTTCCACTGTATTTTGGCTGTCCCTTTGCAGACCATCTCCATATTTCTTTATTCCCAAGACATCTCATTTAAATAAATTACATTTTGGTGCAACCACAATATGTTTCCATAAAATAGGTTTTGTATTTTTTGTAATTCTGGTTTCCCATCTTCTTATATTGCTAACAGTATGTGGACAGACATACTCACTGCTTTAAGACAGCACAAAATCTCAGCCTTTTCAATTATTTTGTCCCCTGCTCTTTTCAAACTCTCAATTAGCCAAATGGCTTGTGATCACTCCGAGCACATAAATAACAGTTCTGTCAATTTGATGGCACATCTTCTCTTTTCTTAGACACATGGAAGCCTCTGTATGCCATTAGCGATTCACAAATAGATACTGATGATTGCAAGAGGCTGCTGGTAAATGTGTTCAGATGGGAAAACATAGTGAGAGAAAACATTCAGCGTATAGTTCAGGCAGTGAATCAAATACCACTCTGTACAAATACAAAGTGAAGATAATAATTCATAAAACACATTTTCTCAATGAATGTGGTCAAATATAATGTTGTGTTCTCCTGCAGATGCTTTGGCCTGGGTCTGGGTCCTCGAGCCTGCAGGAGACTCCTGCAGGGCGTTGCCAAACTGACAGGAGGGACCACAGAGTTCTTCGATGAGGAGGAGAGACTCCAGCCCAAGGTCAGCAGCACGGCAGCACTGCCCCCTATTGGGGAAAATAGGAAATGCAGAAGAATTACAAGTTGAATGTTTTCCTTTTTGTCCCCCTTCCTATTGTAAAGATTATTTGGGTTTCATGAAAGGTGCTATTAGCATCTAATACCTACAGCTTTAGTTCCTACACTAAGCATATCACAAGCTTTTGCCAATAAAAACTTGGGTGTTGTACTTGAAAAAAGTACATTTACTTTACTCAAGTACACCTTGAGTAAAGCAACTAGACAACCTTGACAAGCTACAGCAGAACATTACTACTTTTAGTACACATTAATACATCAATCAACTACTAATGTAATATTACTGGACATTATTTCTGCAGAACAACTAGTTTTACTTTACTTGTCTCTTGTTTAGTTTTTACTTTTGGTACTTTTAATTTATATTGGTGGTGATAGTAAGATTTTTTTACAATGTTTTAAAGAAAATAATATCACTATTTCTTCCACCACTGCCAGCTATTTGGTTGTGAAAATTAATCCTTTCAATTAAAACATATTCTGATCAATCTCTTCAGTTAATCAAGTCTCTGAAAAAGGCGTTTGAACCTGTGTTGACTGACGTACGGATTGACTGGTATCTGCCAGAAAACATGGAGGCTTTTCTTTCACCCAATGAAATCCCTCCGCTCTACCCTGGAAACCGCCTGATTGGATACTGCACTCTATATGATATATGACAAAATCAAAGCAAGAAAGACAGACGTATGCATTACATCATTCTTAAATGCATGTTGTGTGTGCATGGAAAAACAAATCTCTAATCTTACTATTTTACAGTCTCAAGGTCGGGGCTATAAAGGTGTACATCGCGGCTCCACGGGTTCAGTTTTTGGACAATCAAATGATGAGCTTTCTCCCCTCCCTGCCTCCGAGTTAATGCCTATGGTGACACCTGCAGATGGCACCGACTTGGAGGAGGCACTGAGGGAAATTTCCAGAGAAATCTCTTCTGAATTCCCCTGTGCCAAAAACACAGATCCTGGCACCAGCCCAGGTCAGTGACATATCAAAGGACCTTGCAGGTAATATAAGTGAACACTGGACATACCATTGTTGTATATGTTGAGCTTGTTTCTCTCCTCCCTAGGTGTGGAGCTGGACTGGTCCAGTGATGTGAGGAGGAGGATCCAGGAGAGCTCTTACATCCAGGAGCAGTATGTCCTCACCCGCTGCTCCCTCAGCAGTGAGAGGAGTCTGCAGACACAGTCCCACTCCCACATACACGCCTCGTCCCACTCTGAATCCACAGGCGCTGTGTTTCGGCCCGACCCTCTCTCCTCTGGTTCAGTGTTGGAAACAGGCTCTCTACCCCAAGGCCTGGAAAAGATGGCCCCTCTAGAGCAGAGATCGTCCCTGTCTCGCTGGGCCGACTCTCCATGGCAGCCAAACCTCTCCGTAGAAAACACTGATACCGGGGCAGAAAAGGTTCAGTTGACTGTAATTGATTCACCCTAAAGTGGTTTTCTGTATTATTGCAAGTTAGTGGTAAATGTTTAAGGAACATTACATAAAAACTACCAATGCAACTGCTACAGGAGAAAATCGTTGTAGAATCTATGATAAACTTTTTATATCTGCACAGTCACTTGTGACAAATGTCAACAATAACACTGAGAGAAATGTATTCTGCAAAAATAAATACCAGTTTATCCACTGAGGTAAACTAGAAACTGGTCGAGATTCAAAACTCTAACATAGGGCTGCAATCTCTTACTTCATTGCTTTTACTGTTGTTATTGCTGCTTGTTGAAAAGTGTTTTTCAAAAAAACACATCTCTCCCCATGTTGTATCTGATGCAAAAACTGTATGCACATGAGCAAGACTGTTAGGTTAAAAAGAAAAATCACAAATACATAACAATCAGATGACCATAGGATCTTTCAATTTAAGTAAAATGGTTGGAGTGAAAATAAAATGGCAGTCTAACTTACTTTTTTCAACCTGTTCGATTTGTCCTCTTCTACAACCAGAGTCGGGGTCTGGATGACGTTGAGGAACTCGTAGGAGACACAAGTCACTGGCTCGTTCAACCATGGCAGCGCGAAGCTTCTCATCTCCACAGGGCGAGCTGGAGATGCACCGCCTGAGGAGAGCTCTGGAGAGGGTCTCCTTCGACCAAACGCTGGGGGGCAGGCTGGACGAAAGCGATGGAGAGACGAAGCCCCCATCAAGGGGCACACTGTCTCGCAGGAGCCTCACTGACTCCAGTAAGCCATTTGTACTGAGAAAAGAAAGATTCCTATTTTGTCTCCAAAAACATTTCTCTCTCTCTCTCTCTCTCTCTCTCTCTCTCTCTGACCCTCAGATGGCCTCCTGTTCCCCGCCTCTCCTCTGGACTGGGACAGCTTCACAGACCCAGAGTACCTCTTCACTGCTGTCCCAGCTGAGGCTCCTCCACCAGGTCAGTGCCGCTCGCTCATTCACGGCCTGCTGAGCGGCAGACCTGTATCCTGGAGGTCACTGTGGACCTTGGGCACCTCTGGACCCCTGAGAGCCAGGAGACACTGGTAACTGAGGATGTGGAGGAGGGGAAGAGAAAAAGGAGGTGAACCATGGGAGGAGATGATTCACCAACTGACTGCTCGCTCAGTGATCAGGGACTTTGAGAAATGGCAGAGAAGGAGAACGACTCTGGACATGGTGAGGCTTCACTACCGTAAACCTTTATCTCACGTGATTTAAAGTTATTTAAACGCTGTCTAACTTACTGCTCTTTAGGTTCAGCTAAGAGATACCGCATGAAGGCTATCCAGACCAGTAAGCATTGTAACATCATCTGCATGTACACAGCCTTCACTACCACTGACCCCAACAAATGCCTGCCAGACAGCATGGACGTCGAAAACACAGGTGTGACACACTCATAGAAAAACTGAGCAATTGTATTATATATTGAGTCGGCCACTCATCGTAAAATGTATTTTAATCACAGGCAATACTGTTCTGCTAATGTTTTATATTGTCAAATCATATAACCCTGATGATTATGGGATTATTTCAGATTGTTTTTATTTAGATTTCACGGGTACATTTATGCACACAAGGTTGCAAATTGAGACCTGTCTTTTGGCCTGTGTGTGTGTGTTTGCTTAGGGGTGCATTTGGGGAATAGGCGGAGTTTCCAGTCAGGCAGTCGCAGGCAGAGGGCCTATTCTGTTGGATTAGGCAGACGGCGCACCAGCAGAGACAGTGAAGAGATGGAGGACACCTGCAACACTACAGGTAAAGAGACTGAATGATTACACCACCCATTTCTGTTGTCAGCACTTTAGGTCATCATCAATCTTTGTATCTCTCAGACAGAGATGACACCCCTGCCTCACCCTGTAGCCTTACATCCTGGGACTCTAGTAAGTATTGTCGACACGATCAGTGAAAACGTTTATAGTGTAAGTGTAGTCTCAAGGTTAGAGGCGTCTGACCAGCAAGACAGTTCTTCAGTTAAGGTCAGTCTGTAGGGAAGGAGAAATATCTCAACGACTTGTTTTGAAGGATCAATTCAAGCTATCTGTCTCTACAGTCAGGAAATATCACTTTATGCTGATGACACAATATTGTTTAATGTTGTCTCTGCTGTCTCAGGTGTAGGGGGCAGTGCGTACTCTGCTACAGCCTCAGCAATATCAGGCGCATCATGCACTCGTTCACAGCGATCTATCGAGAGCAAGTCGATGGAAAGCTTCTTTGGCACCAGGTAAGACTTTCACATTAACTTCTTGTTATATTACACTATTTAGGGGCCTTTGTAGAAGTGTTTGCTCTCAAGTTTCATCGGAGATAGCCTCTTTCTGTAAGGGGTTTGTATTATGTCTTTATCTAAATGTATGTAAATGTAGATATTCAAAGATACCCACCTCTTTCTGTATAATCCAGATTTCCCCTGGGCAGACTCAGGTCCTCTATTTCATCAGGAAAGCAGGTTCCTCTCAAGACCCACTGTCTCTCTGCAGAGACTGAGAAACAACCTGAGACTGAGGCTCCAGACTACCTGCCCCTGGTGAGACTCTTACAATATATAAAACTAAAGCGTGCATACAAATGTTTTAATTTGTGTATATTTGATGTCTTATTAGGTGCATTTGCAGCTGGCATCAGGCGCTTTTCTTCTGACAGAGATCTACTCGGACTGTGTTCAAATCACCCTGGACCGCCTGAAGAGGGCCTCCCCCTTCAGCCTCCACCGCCGCAGCCTCAGCCCACCCTTCCGCTGCACATATCCCAGTGCTCCGTCTTTATCCACCTCCACTAAGATCCCCGGCGCTACCTCCAACCACCATGTTACCTTTTCTCCTTCCTCGTGCTCCATAGCCAAACCAACTTCACCTCCTTTCCACCACACTCCAGACGACACTCCCCTAATGCTGGAACCAAGGCTTCGCCGAAGACACCTGTCCGACAGGGATCCAGTCACATCACCAATGGACCCCCCCAGCTCTGAGGAGGGCTCCCTGGAGCTCTCTGTGGGCCCCTCTCAGGGCCAGGCAGATAGTGGTCGCGGGTCGGAGACAGATGTATTTGAAGTCTCTTCCATAGATCCAGCTGACCTCCAGGGGGGCAGCCAGTTGGCTCTGGAGGACCTGGAAGGCTCCAGCTGGGCCACAGCTGTGGCTCTGGCCTGGCTGGAGCACCGCTGTGCCGGGTTCTTCATGGAGTGGGAGCTGGTGGCAGCAAAAGCAGACTTCTGGCTGCGCTGCCAGGATCTACCCGAGGGAGTGGACCTGGCGGGCTGAAGGGGGCCGCCAGACAGCTGTTCCTGCTGCTTCGCCACTGGGACGAGAACATCAAGCTCAACATGCTGTGTTACAACCCCAATAACATGTGAGGCGATGACGAGGAAACTGAGTCAGATCTACTGATTATCATAATCACTTGTTACCAATGATAGTGACTCCTGAGAAGCAATGCCTTTTAATGGAAGAGTAATCCTGTATTTCATCTGCAGGATAAACTAATGCCATAACCTAGTGCCAAGTTCATTCTAATAGTAAGTTGAACATGAAATATTTTACAAGTGTAAAACTTTATATTTATGTAAGAATATCCTTAAATGACAGACCAAGTGGCCTTTTTCATCATGAATATATATATTGCTTTATGAAAACACAAAAATGCCTTTACCATCTGACTAGGATTTTTCTAGTCTGTCTTCAGTTAATTTGCTAAATGTATAATCTCAGTCAGTCAGTGTTTATTTTGATTACAAGGATAAGTCTTTGATACACTTATTAAAACTTACTTTAAAGTAACAATCATTAATTGATTTAATTCAACCATTTGTTGTAATGTTGTAACATACATACAAAATAAATAAAAAACTACAATGTTAAGTGGCATCTCTGTTTAATATAAAATGTCACACTCTTGCTCAGTCTGCCATTTTGTTCACATTAAACAACCTATGTGCTTTTGAGTGCAGCAGTGAACCATTACAACAGAAGATGAATCCATTACATCACCAATCTGACAAAGTGCCATGATTGTCTTAAAGCTTGTATATCTATGAAAAAACAATGTGGCCTTGTGGTGGGGAAAACAAACTCTTGCCCTGTATTAAATTAAATTAAAGCTTTTGTGGCGATATTCAAGTTCTGTATCATATTACTTTTATATAAATGATACACAAATATTAATCTACTGCATTCTTATACCACGTACAAGAGCATTAGAAAACCAGATTAAAGATTTGGCAATGTGTAGTTTTAACATAATTTGTAGAAATAAAGCCTAGTATGTAACAAATTCTCTCAAAACATTCAAAATGTCCTCCTCAAATTCGACTCCACGATTCCTAAAATGTGTCTGAAAATTAAACCTGAGATCCATATTTTCTTTTCATCTCTTCAACTGCAAGGAACTACTTCATCATGTAGGTGTCTGTGTGCAGCACCCACACTTTAGCTTCGTTCACCTTTAGCAGTGAACTGAGACGAGAAGCTTTGAATGGCTCCTTGTATTCACTTAAAACACAGTCTGTCACAGTGACCTCCCTCTGCACCGGTGTTGTGAGGACCAAAGAGAGGAGAGGAGCTGATTGGACCATGTACGACATCCGGTCCGATCAGCCCGCAGCTCACTGGCCTTTGTCCTTCTCGGGTGTTGGTTCTTCTGTTTCTGTGCCGTGGGGCTGAGGGCAGCGGAGGGGCCAGCCACAGACACAGGAGGATGATGAGGTGACAGACGTGGAGGGCGGCGGAGCTGCCGATAGTAGAGGGGTAGGTGTTCCAGGAAAGCTCAATCAGACCCAGGATCAGTACCCTGAGGAGGAAAACAATATGGCATTAATGTATGAGTGACTGTGTGCTATAGGTGTACACATAATCAGAAATGTAACTTTTAGTTTAGCATTTAGTTTAAAGGCTTTATTGTCATATAAACAGCTACAGTGTAGATATACAATGAAAGGGTTCCCAGGCTCCACCAACAATGCAACACAAATATATATAAAATATTAAAATAGTATTCATAATTATTGTGCAAGAAGAAACAGAGTAGCAGCAGTGAGGTGAGGTCTGATTTGCTTTAGACCGGGCAGCATGATATTTGTTATTGTGGTATGATTTGTGATATTAGAGGATTGACCATTTTTGAAAACATCAGTTCCATTAAAAATATATTAAAATGTTAATGGGATTTATACGAAACAAGATTTCTAGTTTGTAGGCCTGGACGTTACCAAAATACTTATGAGCAATGATACTTTCACATATGTTGCCTTTACCAAATATTTATTTGATTTGGTCCAGATTGCATTTTCGATACAATTCCAATAATGTAAGCCGCATTAGTTTAGACTCTCTTACCTGAGCAGGTGGGCCAGCTTCTGACTCCTCCGCTCCAGAGCAGGAAGGGCAGCGTGTGGAAGTACCAGACGTAAAACTGGTAGTGCAACGAACGGCTGAAGCACATGCCAATGAAGTTAGATGTGAACAGAATCAGAACCATCTGTGATCATCTGTCAAGGTTTCACACAGCAGCTGTTGTATACTAGGAACATCCTTTAATTACTCTCTCACCGATATATTGTAGACATTTTAGCAAATCAATTCATTGACATCTACTAGGAGAAATTAAACGGTTTCCTGACAAAACCTAATGTATCCTTTGAGGATAAATATTCTACAGATAGAAGCTAAACCAAATGCGAAAAAAGGATATGATCAACAGTGGTTTTCTGAGCGGGGGCTTTCCGCTTGCTGGGATCCTTGAGGAGATCAAAGATGCTTTCTCCTGGCCTGGTTACAAAAAAGAAATAAATATATATATATTTACACTTGAAATAAAATTGTGTTAATTTCACTCCCTGGGATCAACTCTTGCTACGTAGGGGAGAGAAAAACTGGCACGACTTTACCACTGATTTATTCAAGTTCATATCTATAATACCAACAGTAACCTCTGTCTCACCTCTTCCAACGACGGAGAGCGAAGAGCAGCAGGGCGAGCAGGTGGGAAGCCAGCAGGATTAGGTGGAAGTACCGATCCAAGAAGAGCCATTCTGGCAGGAAGCGCCAGTTGACCGTCCATTTGAACATAAACTGACGGCCAAGATCAAACGCCTGGCTCATATAACCCACAGGATTCTCCAGGAGGAAAGGCAGTCCCAGCAAAAGCTGCAGACAGATTCATTTATAAATGATGCTCGGCATAGTGGACAACATTACATTTTTGTAATGATAAAGCTTGCCTGGTTTTAAGGATATCTTACCTGGATGCCCGCACAGAGAGAAAGCTTGGGAATTGTCCTGATTAGGCCAAACTCAGATATGAGGAGGAAAAGTAGTCCCGGAGCAAAAAGGAGCACATTCATTTCACAGACACTGCTAAACTGTCAGAAAGAGAGAAAGATGAAGTTGTAATTTCATAATGTAAAAAAGACACAATCTGATATAAGTTTCACAAAGATATGTGACACTTCATCCCGAGAAAGCCAAACACATAAGAGTTGCATTGTGCTGTGAAGCAGTGGACACTTGCCTGTAAAGGGCGCAACCCAGAGTCCAGTTTCCATCCATGAAGAGGTTGATGGCTCCAAACAGCAGCATCATGGCCACAGGATCATTAAAGAGACGCAGCACAAAGATGGAGTGGATCCGATAAGAAGCACAGCACACAAAGAAGAACACGTAGGGAGGAACCTGGGGAAATTCCAAGAAAAAAAATACCATGTCTTTAAGGCAGAAAAATTACATCAGAGGCATTTTAGAAGGAAACTATTTGGAAACAGAATACATAAGTACAGAGTATACAATACAACTCATACAATATAAACGGCCTATTTAGCAAACACAGTACAGTTCAGTGGTGTATCGCAGACAATGTTATCATGCCACATTGTACCTGAGGATGTTGTCACAGACTGACCTTCTTAGTGCGGTGGTAGATCCTGAAGACCAGCAGCAGTGTGATGAGGTAGAAAGCAGCAAAAAGGTACTGCGCAAGGCGGATGTTCACCCCATGGCTTGTGATGTAGTAGAGAACGTAAAGATGTAGACAAGCCAGCCGGGTACCTGCAACAACAACAAGGTGCTAAGTTATACTGCACTCATACTAACAAGTTGGAGAACTCTACATAATTAAAAACGTTTAAACTCACACCAAGGGGCCGGTGTCTCCTTTAAGCTTGGTGTAGTCGTAGGTACCATTGATGACTCCCTCCACCTCATCCATGTAGGCTTTCCAGTCTATCTCAGTGTCTGTGGTAAATATAATACATCAGGGATCATAAAAGATGGGGAAAGTTGCTGTTAGTGCTGTGGTGTGGTTATTTGTATATTTATTTGCATGTACATTTCTAGAATAAACATGTTTTGATTAATGCAAAAAAACAATAATAAGATAACATGGTGATTTCATTTATTTTGACAGTTCAGCATGAGAATCTTACAGCATTACGTTAGATTAAGAAGTAAGCTACATTTGTCAATAAAATCAATGACCTGGGGTACATACTAATGCTTGGACTTTATGTGTAACGGTCTAACGGTATAAGTAGCGTTACACATTTAAATTAAATTAAGAGTATTGTCATTAACAATAGTTTGCTGCATACAATTTTAGCAAGAAGTTGCGGGAAATAATGAACGATATTTAACACTTGAGCAGACATGTGGTCATGCAAGGGCAGTAAATTCCCTTTGACAGGTGGTAGTCGAAGTTAGTGGGTTTGCTAATGCTAGCTACTTAGCGTTTACATACGTTAAGAAACATAACAAAGCACCAGAGCATGCTAACTAGCCGCACAGAGCAGCTACTTACATGCTACTTTCTGTATGACCCACGCATTGAAACCGATCTCTAGAAACCACAAAACTGAAACGACCAGTAGAGTGTATTGCGTCTTGAACAGGACCAAATGTTTGTCCTGCCACAGTGTGTGGAGTTTCCCCCACAGGGGGGAAGGGGAACCGGGAGACTTTCTTCGCACACCTCCTGCCATCTCGGCGGCGTAGCGAGTAGCTCACTAGCGAAGGAGAGACTCGAGAGACGTGGAGAGACGTCGCAATGTGTACGTCATCACGCAGCGTTCATCACATAGGGTCACGTGACGTGGACAACATAGCTCAGCCGAAAATGTCAAGCTAGGACTTCAATTTTCTGACAGGTAAAAACAACTGATATTATAATAAATCGTACTTGACAATTAAAAAATATATACCTTTAGGCATTTAATATTTGTGAACATATAGTAAGCTAACGATACGGTTGTTTAAACAACGTCTAGAGGTCAAAACTGCTGCCTTATAGCTAACTTTAGCTTACCATTATTACAAAGATAATAATCCCACTGAAATACGTTATGTAACAAGTGGCTTGTTACTGTTG